GTCATTTACGGTTTTTACAAGGCTCAAAAATGTCAAAACTGTTAAAATGGAAGTTTCTATGAACATTATGTTTTTCAAAGGACTAAAAATGAAATTTGTTTATTGGGCTAAAATTTTGGGCTTTTCGACCCATAGGCCCAAAGTTGCGAAAAATATGGTTTTAAGGAGCTGAAATGGTAAATTTCTCAAAACAGTAGGTAGATAAGTAAATAAATCTATTTTTGGGGTTAAAATGACCTTATTTGCTAAAAAGGATTGAAAATGCAAAGATTTTGGATTTTGGGTAAAAAGTGTAAAAGTTGCGAAAAGTGTGGATTAAAATGCAAGTCTTTTAACTAAAGGGTTGAAACTTTCTAAAAATTTACTTTTTGACTTAAAACATTATTTAAATAAGTGTTTGGGTCAAAAATGTCAAGAAAAATAGTTCAAGGGCCTAATATTTCATTTTTTTTATAAAAAGGACTAAAATTGCCAACTTTACCAAAATAAGGGGCTGAATAGGTCAAACTAATATTTTTGGTCAATTATGTTAATAATAAAATAATTGGGTCAAAATATACAAAACTTTATAACTTATGAGTTTTAAATAGAAAAATAACTATTTTTATAAATCTATGAATCATTATAAAACAAATTCGTGATTTTTACGACATATCGATTAAACAACTCGCAACATTAATACTATACAAAACAAGTAAACAAGTAAACATTCTAATGGTTGGGATTGAGAGATTCTAATCATGCTTATTGGGCCTTCGTGACTCATTAACATGACTTTTGGGCCTAACATAAATAATACATGTTATTGGGCCTCTTGTGACCCAATTACATGCTTAAGGGACCCTCAATGGTTTTTACATGCTATTGGGCCTCAGTGGCCCATTAGCATTACTAGTAAGGTCCAAATAAATCATATGCGAAATGGGCCAACGCGCTTTTCGTATACTCGACAACCTCAAATAACATACGAAATTAGTATGGTCTAGTAGTCCTCTTCTCCTCGTCTGTTAGGCTTACCCTCTCTTCAAGTAAACTAAAATCAGGTCATTAATCAAGGTTAATCAAATTCATGTGGATTAAGTGAGTAATAACGGGTGACACCAATAAGTTTCGGTCGTAGTCTGTAGTTGTAATCAAAGTCTCCTGGAGGGAGAGCGAGAGTTTGTGTATAGATCTATACGGGGTGACTCCCCCACACCTAAGCTGTTCGCTACAGTTAGACTCGGCCAGTCTAGGGTGACAAAGTCTTAAGATCAAATTTTGGTGTTCATTAGAATGCCAAGACAGACGAACTAGTCATTATCATGCATGGTTATAACGACTCACGTAGAAATCCGATATCATTTAAGTAATCAAGGGAAATCATATTCATTTTATGTGACGATACAATAATGTAAAACCATCATAAATTTTTATCGGAAAACATCGGGTTTTCCGGGGAAACCAATCTTGCTCATTTGTACTTTCAAAAACTATAATGCAAAACTTCTCATTTATTCATGTTTTGAAATCATTCACGCATATACTTACAGGATCATCACAACATTTTCAAGAAAAGTCTTAATACAGAAAATATCGGATTTTCTGGGTTTTACGAACGACATAAACTATTTTACATCAAACACACTTATGAACTCACCAACATTATATATGTTGACCGTTTTCAAAATAACTTGTATTCTCAGGTAATCGTTAGACAAGGAAGCATCCAGTGTGTTGAAAGTTTCTTTTGTAGTTGCTAATCACCAAACACTTTATATTTCGGAATCATGTAATGTAAACCTTGTACTTGATGTAAACAATGCCAGTTGTACTATGTAATGTTTGGTGATGAATGTGTTATGTTTCATGTATATTCATTGTGATGATATTTCAATTTAAGTCACGCGAGCCCTCGGACGTTTCCGCCGTCTGGTTCGGGGGTGTGACAATCACCAATGCAATCTAATAGAACCGGTGTAAATAAACTAACTAACTACAATTAAACTAAAAGGGGGGGGGTGTTGTGATTGCTTGAAAACTAAAATACTTGAATAACTAAAAAGCTTGCAATTAAGCAAGATGGTGAGATGCTCAAATGTTGAGAATAATTGGTTAACCAAGGCAATTCAACACAATGAACATTTGTGTGTTTATCATTAGGATTCAACATGAAGCTTATCATTCATCCCAAATTGGTTATAGAAATCATGAAGCATGATATGCCAAGATTCCTCTTAGGTAGTATAGAGGTTGGGGAAGCCCACAACACACCTTCTTAATCAAGATCAAGGGTTTAATTGAAGCAATTGAACCCAAGAAGTTAATTAGCCTTAAGAAAGAAGGAATCCCCAATTCCTAGAGGATGTCAATGCTTACACATCCATAAAGGAGCTATGATTCATAAACTAGAGATTATTTTTACCATCATAAAGCCCTTGTTCTAAGTTAATTCAATGATTCAATGCAAAACCAAAGAAATAAACTAACAATAGCTCATTCAAGTGCCAAGCTCATGATCAAAGCATTAAACAAGCATAAGAAATATGATCTAGAACCATAAACATAAGATAATTGATAATCTAGCATGAATCCTTCAAAAACCCACAAACATTCAGAGGTTTTAACCAAAGTTAACCAATATAGAGAGTTTAGCCACTCATGGCAATAGAACAACAATCACAAAAGTCTAATTGCATAAAGAAACTACCAAATAACTTGGAAAGATGAAAAGAAATGAGTCTTGAGCTTCCAAATCGCCTCCTACAGCTCTCCAATGGTGTAAAATCGAGAGTATGGCTGCTAGATCTCATCCCCCAAGGTAATGGCAAGCCAAATGACCAAAATGCCCAAACTGGGCAGTTGCGCGGGTACCCGCGTGGCGAAAATTCCACCCGTGCAAATGTTGCTGTAATGCTATTGGTCCTTCCTTCCTCCACTCCACCCTTCCACTACCAAAGATTCCTTTGGTCCCCTCCATATCCATGTGATTTAAACTAACCAATCATCATTTAGCTACAAAGATGGATGCTCCAAGCCCAAAAATAGAAGTTTATGACCCATCTTCACAAGTCCAAAATATCCAAGTCTTCAATTCTTTAAGGCCCAAGTCTTCTTTTATGGATCCGTCAAGCCCAACAATGCCTCGAGAGCCCACAAGTCCGTCTTCACTCTAATCCACAATCACGATAAGCACCAAAATCCTGCAAAATACCTCATGCAACATAAAAAAACACCCGGTACGATCCATACTAAAGAAAATAAATAAAATACAATGCAATAATGATAAAAAAGATCTAAAAATCTAAAATAAACTAATAAAAATAAGGAAATAAAATAAGCTATCAAATCACCCCAAGCTTAAACCTAACTTGTCCTCAAGTTAGAACAAGACTAAAATGAGCTCGGGATAAGCTAAACTAAAAAGGAAAAAGAAAGGTACCATAGAACTTGGTCAACATCAGTCAACATGGTCAGAATTAGTCCTTCATGGACCCTACGCATCCTCAAAATGTTCCCCGATTTAGAGCCATAAACCACATTCTCAATCACTTGATGGGCGAATAGATCACGACTGGATGTAGTCGCGGTGTGCAAGACAAAGGAAACAGAGATGCGCCCAGTGGGGGCACTTTAAATCACTAATGTAGACCATAGTGCACGAAGGAAAGGCGCATCTTCACACACTATGACTCCTACATTTGTCAGGCTAAAGTGTTTAATACGAAATAGGGTTTTTGCAGCACGGCCTCCGGGCAAACATCCGGTTTCAGAGGCTTCTCCCTTGTACTGTCCTTTACAGTCTACCGTCTCATCGTCAAGGCCTTTTCTCACCAAAAATCAAAAATAAAATAAAATAATAAAAATTCTACTTAACCTAAATCTAAGCCTAGCAACTTAAATCTTCAATCTTGAACTTCTGTTATTTGGTATTCAGCTTCTTTGTTGCTTGATATTCGGTCTTCTTGAATCTTCATTTTTTTTGAACTAAAGCCTTGAACTTGGATTCTTGTTCTTCTTTTTGTGCTGCTCTTTTTTTCTTCATTTTTCTTCTTTGTTTTCACTTGTCCAATTTCTTCAATTTTTTTGTGTTTTCTTCTTTGAGGTCTAAGGAATTTCACCATGTAACAAAGGATGGAGGCTAACATGAACACCTAAAGATCATTGACAATGTGCCAAGATCAACTAAAAAGGGTGGGGAATGACTCAAAAATGGGTGTTACCGAAAAGACTTGGTCCAAAAGATGTGAATTGGGGGACCCACTTCAAAGTTCATCAAGCACCTCAATGCAAGGTGTGATAAACAAAATCTATCTAACTATCTACTCTAGACCCCTAGAAAAATGATAACCTATCCTAAAAAGGTGGCGAGAATCTAACTAAGCAAGGCTCGGGCGAGACTCGGGAGTACTAAGGGGTACTCCCCCCAAAACCAAGACGTGATTCTTCAATATCTTCAATGTCTTCATAATACCTTACCGGGCTAATCTTTTCTCGCACACATTGGCTTAACCAACCACATCCCTCCGCACCTAGACCCAATCAAGCTACCTGCATCTGACCCCCACACAAGCGGTCTTGAAATGGTCTGTGAGGCTCAAAACGTGCCCCACTTATCAAATACAATGAATTCCATATCAAGACCCGGGACCAATCTATGATTCAATACTTATGACTCGATGCTCTGGTACCTGTAGGGATGAGAAGACAAGAGAGAACAAAAATGCATGAACTTAAACTAGGATGCATCTAAAAAGTATGAAAATTAGAAAAGAAAGAAAGAAAATATGCAATATTTTTGAATTTTTCATGCAATTTTTATGAATGACCTAAATGAGTTACTCTAAATGCAACTATATACAACCTAAATGCAATAAAAATAAAATATAATAATACCTCACCCCAAGCTTAAAATGAAGCATTGTCCTCAATGCTTAGGATAAGAGTAAGGATGGATCATACCGGGATCAAGGTGGAGGAGGCCCACGAGGGGGGTAACCGGCTTCGGGCCGAAAATGATACTAAAGATTTTCCATGTAGTTGTTGGCGCGGGCTTGCTGCTCCTCGATGCGGCGAATGGCTGCTGTGTTCCGGTTGCCCTGGAGGCGCAATGAGGCAAGCTGACTGTAGATATCAAGAGGGAATTCGTGCTCGGGATCGGGCTCATTGTGTTGCTGATAGGAGTGGTACTCATGTTGCGGCTGAAAGTGTGATCCCGAGGGCTGATCATAAGGTGGTGGCAATTGTCGGATCGGGAGGTCATAATGGTCTTCGGCCTCAAATGGACTACCAGCATTGGAATTGTCGACTTGCATTTCATCATCATCATCGTGTAACTCGTCAGGCAAGAACCAAGTTTCAGGCTCGCTGGTGGAAAAGGCGGAGATGCTAGGATTAGGCAAGATGTAAATTGGTTCCTAGACATGATTGAGCCAAGAAAAATGGTTATGACGGGTAGGATGAGGTATCAGTAATTCCATCCGGGTGAGGGCTATGCAGTCAAGGAGATAGAGAGGTGGGTCATCCACTGGCACATACTCAGACTCGGGAAAGTGAAGGCCCACACCCAAACCAATTAGGGTAATGAAGCCTCCGATGCAAATATCATCAGTGGTCTTCGTGCGGATGCTGTCACATTTATCCAAGAAAAAGGTGGCGAAACCGGGGCAAGACCAATGTAGATGGCTCATGCAATAGAGGAAATAGAGCTCGACTGTGTTGATTTGTCCTGGCTCGTGACGAGCAAAGATGGAAGTTGAAAGGATTCGGTGGGCGATTCTCCAACAAGGATGGATGATGTAAGGATCTTTTTGTCGACTTGGATTGAAGTTTGGAAGACTTGTTATTTGAGTCCAAAACTCTACATTAGGAACGCTCTTGAATCGAGTCCACTGATGGCTATAGATGTCGGTGTTGAAGGTATTGTTTGTGCCGATGATGGTGTTGAGGGTGTCGTATGTGAGTCGGTGCTGCCGACCCTGCAGTTTTAATGTGAGCACCCCTGGTGTGTCATCCCGTGCATAAGTGGAGAGGAACTCTAGTGTGGGTTGTTGGTATGTGCGCGCGGAAAGAGCGAGGAATTCGTGCCAAACGATGTTGAAGAACAGTTGTTGCAGGCAATCGTCAAGGCCAAGGTGCGTCATTGAGTCTTGGTGGTAAAATTTGGTGGCTCGAATTGCACGTTTTTGGAGGTTTGAATTGAATTGTTTGATTTGCGCGCTAGTGAGGACAAGGTTACCCGCACGATCGGTGTTCTCAGTTGACACTTTTTTTGTGGATCGCGAGGATGAAGCCTCACGGGAAGAACCATGAGTTGCGTGAATGGTTTTGTCCCTTGCCATTGTACCTTTTTAATAGAACCTAACAAACACAAAAACTTTGCCAAAATTATCCCTCACACTCGCCTCACACCAATCCAATCAAATCAAATAACAAGAATTTAAACCGGGCAAATATTCCAAACTTGCAATTTGGCACAATTCAATGCAATCCAATCAATTCAAAGCAAACTAATTCTAATTCAAATCAATCTAATGCATAGCACAAGCCTATTGAAATTAGAAGTTGAATGCAATAAAATTAAAAGAAATGTACCAATTTCGTGTGTTGAAACCCGAAAATAAATCCGCAAAAACCGCACCCCAAGCTTGAATTTGACCCGCAAGATTGAATCTTTTGAAACTCCAGTGAGAAACAAAAATTTTGAAATTTTTGGACAAAACTAGCGGCGGTCGGCGGCGGAGCTAGGGTTTCCGGCGAGGAGATTTTTCCGAATTAACAGTAGATCGGCGTGTGGTAGAGTGTTTGGTGAAGAATGCCCCAAGAAATTTTGAATTTGACGGAGATTTGGCGTCGGAATCGGGCTTGAACGATTTTTCCGGCGAGTTGATAATGGTGTCGGCGGACGGATGTTCTCGGAAGTAAAAGGGTGGAGGCTGGTCGGAATTAGATGGGGATTAGGGTGGGAGGGCAGCGCCAGCGGTAGCAGCGAGTGGGGAGGCTGTATTTGGTCAGCATCGCTTATCCGGCGACGAAGGGGTGCGAAATCGGGGCTGCCGGTTGGAGAAGAAGAGGAAAGGGGAACGACGACGCGATGGAGGGTTTGGCAGCGCCGATCGGTGGCGTAAGCAGTGGCAGCGGCAGTGGAGCTAGTCGGAAGGGAGTCGTCGGTGGCAGTGAACGGGAGGCATAAGGGGGGCGCTCCGACGGGTGGAAGGGGTGGTATAAGGTGGGTTAAAATGTAACGGGTCGGGTTATCGGGTCGAGATTTGGGTCGGATCCGGGTAATAAGCGGGTATGGAGCGGCTACCGGGTGGGCATTTCCTTTGTGGGTGGTATTGGCTGGCCGCGCAGAGGAAGGGTTATCTTTTGCCTTGGCCGCGTAGGAAGCTGCGAGGGTGGGAGTTAGGTCGCGCGAACTAATCAGATGCAACCCCATGTTGGGGTAATTTGGAACTCGGAACCTGCGCGGCTGGGGGTCGGTCGCGCAAAGTCTGCGCGGGTACCCGCGCAAAAGTCAAATTTGTGGAGTTTTTCAAACTTCACCAAAAATCATTGCAAGACTTCCATAAGCTTATTTTTAGGCCAACTTCAAGTTTAGAAACACCCAAAACTTCAAGCGGAGATTATTTATTTACAATGCATTTATTTAACGTCTTTGCCAAGACTTAGCCCTGTTTTCATCAACCTTCGTAATTTGGATTTTCCAATGTTATGTTGTCAAATTCTCCTGTGTCAAAGCCTTCATAAAATGGTTTCAAGCGATGCCCATTCACTTTGAACACTTGGTTTGTTTCCAAACTCTTAATTTCAACCGCACCGTGATCAAACACTTTTATAACAATAAAAGGTCTGTGCCATCGAGATCGCAACTTTCCCGGGAATAGCTTTAAGCGTGAATGATAAAGAAAAACTTTTTGGCCAGGAATAAAATGCTTACGAGTGATGTGCTTGTCATGAAACGCTTTTGTCTTATCTTTGTAGATGCTTTCATTTTCATAAGACTCGTTTCTTAACTCTTCGATTTCTTGAAGTTGCATCTTTCGGTACTTTCCACTTTATTCAAGGTTGAAATTGCACTTTTTAACCGCCCAATAGGCCTTGTGTTCCAATTCCACCGGTAAATGACAAGACTTTCCATAGACAAGGCGGAATGGAGACATACCAATAGGGGTTTTGTAGGCGGTCCGATACGCCCACAATGCATCTTCTAACTTCAAGCTCCAATCTTTTCGTGTGGTGTTGACCGTCTTTTCGAGAATTTGCTTGACTTCTCTATTTGATACTCCGGCTTGGCCATTCGTTTGTGGATGGTAAGCGGTTGATACCCCGGTGTGTGACACCATATCTTTTCATCATGGCTTCCATCATTTTGTTGCAAAAATGAGTGCCCCTATCACTCACCAAAGCTCTTGGTACACCATATCTTGCGAAAATGTTTGACTTCAGTAAGTCAATTACAGTTTTAGAATCATCATGCCTTGTAGCCTTTGCTTCCACCCACTTTGAGACGTAATCAACCGCCAAGAGTATATAAGTGTATCCGAAAGAGACGGGGAAAGGGCCCATGAAATCGATTCCCCATACATCAAAGATCTCACAAATAAGGATAGGATTTTTTGAATCATTTCATGCCTCGTGGATACGGTTCCCGTTCTTTGACATCTATCACAACTTTTGCAAAATAGATAGGTATCTCTTGACATTGTTGGCCAATAGAGTCCACATTCTAAGACCTTTCGCATGGTTTTGTTTTGACCAAAATGTCCTCCGCATGCATACTCATGGCAAAACTTCAAGATTGATTCGACCTCATTTTGATGAACACACCTCCGTATTAGTTGATCCGGACAATGTTTCCAAAGATAAGGGTCGTCCCACACATAGTATTTGGAATCACTCTTCAACTTGGCCTTTTGGTGCTTGGTAAATGTGTGAGGAATTTCTTTAGTAACAAAGTAATTCACAATATCCGCATACCATGGGATGGTGTTTGAAATGTAGAAGAGGTGTTCATCCGGGATTTCATCAAGGATAGAAGATAAGGAATCACCAATATTCAACCGACTTAAGTGGTCCGCAACTAGGTTTTCGGCACCACTTTTGTCCTTTATCTCAAGATCGAATTCTTGTAAAAGAAGAATCCACCGAATCAACCGTGGCTTGGCATCTTTCTTGGTCATGAGATACTTCAATGCGGCATGGTCGGAGTATACAATCACTTTTGTCCCGAGAAGGTATTGCCGGAATTTCTCCAAGGCGAATACAATGGCTAGAAGTTCTTTCTCGGTGGTGGAATAATTGGCTTAAGCATTATGCAAGGTTTTGGAGGCGTAGTAGATAACATGTGATGCTTTGCCCTCCTTTTGACCTAAAACCGCTCCAATTGCAAAATTGCTTGCATCACACATTATTTCAAATGGAAGCTCCCAATTTTGGAGGTTGGATTATTGGAGCGGAGGTGAGCAAGTCTTTGAGTTTGTTAAAGGCTTCTTGACATGCAACATTAAAGTCAAAATCAACATCTTTTTGGAGAAGGAGGAACATCGGTCGCGTAATTTTCGAGAAATCTTTGATAAATCTTCTATAGAATCCCGCATGGCCCAAGAAAGATCTTACTTCTCTAACACATGTTGGGTAAGGAAGGGTTTGGATGACATCAATTTTGGATTTATCAACTTCAATTCCTTTTTTGGAGACGATGTGTCCCAAGATGATGCCTTGATTGACCATGAAGTGACACTTCTCAAAGTTTAACACCAACTTCTTCTCAATGCACGTTTTCAAAATCTTCTTAAGGTTATCCAAGCATTCATCAAATGAATTGCCATATACTGTGAAGTCGTCCATGAACACTTCAATTATATTCTCAACATACTCGGAGAAAATGCTCAACATGCATCTTTGGAATGTGGCGGGGGCATTGCATAATCCAAATGGCATCCGCTTGTAGGCAAACGTGCCAAAGGGGCATGTGAAGGTTGTCTTGTCTTGATCTTCGGGGGCAACAGGTATTTGATGAAAACCCGAGTATCCATCGAGACAACAATAATGTGACTTGCCCGCCAATCTCTCGAGCATTTGGTCGATGAAAGGAAGAGGAAAATGATCTTTTCGTGTGCTTGAATTTAACTTTCTATAATCAATGCATACCCTCCATCCATTTTGAACTCGAGTGGGCACCATTATTCCTTTGTTATTCTCAACAACCGTGATTCCCGTTTTCTTGGGAACCACTTGAACCGGACTAACCCACTTGGAGTCAGAAATCGGGTAAAGCATATCCGCATCAAGGAGTTTGATTATCTCTTTCTTGACAACTTCCATCATGGGAGGATTTAATCGTCTTTGAGCTTCCCTCCTAGGCTTACAATCATCTTCCATGAGTATCTTGTGCGTGCATACATTAGGGCTTATCCCCTTAATGTCCACTATTGTCCACCCCATGGCCTCTTTATGATCTTTCAAGACTTCAATCAATTGGTTCTCTTCAAAGTCTTTCAATTTAGAAGAGATGATCACCGGTAGAGTTTCATCTTGACCTAGATAAGCATCTTTCAAATGGCTAGGTAAGACTTTCAATTCAAGTGTGGGTGGGTGGATTATGGAAGGTGGCATCTTGTTTGGAGAATGAGATAAGGCAACTTGAGAAACATCCTTTTTTGTTGACTTGTTAACTTCTAAAGTTTTCACAATTTCTTCAACTTCGGAGTCCAATGTATACATATCCAATGTTTTCTTCAAACTTCCACCATCAAGACTTATGTTGAGCACCATCTTCAAGAGATCCCCATTTGATAACTCGAATAATTCTTGGGTGATTGGCTCAATCACATCAACCCGATACAATGGAGAAATGTTGCTAGGATATCGCATTGCTTCAAAGATGTTGAAGTGAATGGTCTCTCCATCAAACTCCATGGTGATCTTCCCATTATGGAAATCAATAATCGTGTGAGCAGTATTCATGAAAGGTCTTCCAAGGAGGATCATAGATGATTGGGAAGGAGTCTTCTCTTCAAGGTCAATGACATAGAAGTCCGCGGGAAATACTAGTTGATTGATTTGTACTAGTACATCCTCCAATACGCCTCTTGGAAATACACTTGACTTGTCCGCTAATTGAATGATGACTCCGTTTTCTTCCAAAGGTCCAACATTGCGAGATTGAAAAACCGAGTATGGCATTACATTGATTGAGGCTCCAAGATCTAACATGGCACTTTCAACATGCAAATTACCAATGGTACAAGGAATAGCAAACATTCTCGGATCCTTGCATTTGGGTGGTAATTTCTTTTGGATAACCGC